AATAGCAGAGTTGTTGTGAAGAATTGGTGAAGTAAAATTGGAAGCAAGGAGCACAGTTCCTCAAATGCTGCAGATAGTAATCCATTCTGGTATTGTTCACTATTGTCAGAATATCTGATTTATTAATTTCTTCCCAGGGACCAGCTAGAGAAGCAGTCAACTCTCCACTGCTGTGCATTCCTGGGTCACATATACTACTAAGCTGTGCTCTTCTGGGCCACTCACAGCCAAAGATCAATTGTATATACTGCTCTGTAACATTGTGAGTGCAGATAGACAGCAGTAGTGCTATAGTTGGGGCTTTCCTAATAATTAAGAAGAAGTGCCGCAGGCTGGAAGGCTGTTAAGGCAGGGGGAAAATGCAGTGAGGAAAGCCAGCCTGGTAGGAAGAACAGCCTCCCAACATAACAATGAAAGCCTACCGTGGGCATTGGTGTCAAGGGAGAGGTCAAGGTAGGGTGGGGCTGGGGCAAATGAAACAGCTCAGTTTATACCCAATGTCATCTGGTAATGAAGGCCACAAGTGTAAAAACGTGAGCCCTGTGTTGCCATATCTTTAAGAAAAGCTAGAAAGCCACATTTTACTTAAAAACCAACTAAAAAGGAAAATGTGGATCATTGTAGTAGGTAGAATAATGACCCTCAAAGATCTCCATGCCTTAATTCTGGAATCTGCCCATGTCAAGTTACATGGTGAAGAAGAATTAAGACTGCAGGTGAAATCAAGATTGTTAATCAGCTGGCCTTAAGGAGGTTATCTTGGGATATCTCATGGGCCCAATGTAATCAAAGGGTCCTTAAAAGTAGAAAAGAGAGACCGAGAGTATAGCCCAATGGCAGAGAGCTTGCTTAGCATGCACAAGGGTCTGGGTTCAATTTCCACCACAGAAGAAAAAAAAGTGGAAGGGGAGAGGCAGAAGAAGAGAGAACCAAAGAGAGCTGTGACTACGGAAGAAAGATACAGAAAGATACAATGCTGCTGGGTTTAAAGATGGTAAAACAAGGCCACAAGCCAAAGAATATTAGTGGCTTCTAAAAGCTGGAAAAGGCAGGGGAAAGTCTCTCCTAGAACGTTCAGAAAGTGATGCATCTCTTGATTTTTAACCTGGGGAAACTAGTATCAGATTTTAACCTCCGGAACTGTAGGATGATACCTTTGTGTTAAATCACAAAGACTGTAATAATTTGTTACAGCAGCAACAGCAAACTAATGCATCAATTCCCTTAAAAAATAAATGTAAGCCAAATGAATCACCTCTGCTGGCTGCAGGAGCTGCAAGCCACTTCTGACTGAAACTTGATAATTCACACAGACTGATTTTTAAGTAGTAAAGACTTGAAAATTACCAACTCCATGACCTAATCAAGGGAAGTGACGAACCCAGGATAACACAGCTGTGATTTATACTAGGGATACTGAGTCTTAGAACAGAACTCAGATCCCAAACCCAGCATCCACACAAGGTGACCTAAGGTTGCTAAGTTCTTGTTGATGTGGAATCAACACATCCAAAATCCAAATGAACTTGTCACTTTACATGAACACAACTGGACATGGAAGGAAGGAGAAAGAAATAGCAACTGATGCGGCAACGGCCGTTTTGCCTACTGTTCTATTCAAGAAGCAAAGGAATGCTGCAGGGGAAGCTCCAGAGGACAGTCTGTAATGCTGTCTTCAGAATTTAACCCTAAGAAAGATTCTGAGACACAGGGAATTACGCAGGCCTCTTGTCATTGATGTCAACTCTGTTGCCTGCTTCCCAGACTCATTTTCCTGTTTCTCAAGCCAGCTGTATTTCTTTCTCTTTCTTCTTTTTTTCTTTTTCCTATTTTCCTTCGCACATGTAATTACTGAGGCCTCCTTCAGCTTCTGCAGAAGGCTCTGCACTGAGTGAGAACAGGAACATGCGTGTCTTCACTGCAAATCTCTCTCTCAGTGGTCCTGGTTTGCTTTACAAGAGTGGCCACGGAGGAGAGTTGAACCTCTGGGAAATGAAATCAGACACATGTCATTATGAAATGAACAGGGCCCACAGAGGCACTTAGCTCCAGAGATGCTCCACGGGCATCTTCTAACTATGGGTGTTCTGTTTGGACTACAGTATGCATCCATGGTCCTCACCCTGAGAAAAATATTATGAAACCTTTCAAGGGGAGAATGTTCTCTTCCATTTGCCACAATCTTTGGTCCTCCCACAATCTTATACTACCCTCCTTCATTCATCTATATTCCTTGACAAGCTCCCAAAAGAATTTTAGTTTGTAACAATTTAACCTTATCTAAGTTCCTCATTTAATTCAGGTCACTTACTCATTTACTCAGGAAATATTTATTGACCACCTGCTATGTGTCAAAAAATATAATGGGAATTTAAGAGTGAACAAAGTGATTGGTCTAACAGCCTAACAATGATAACAATTACAGTGATGATAATAATTAAAAGTATTGAGTATTTATTTTGTTTCAGGCTATTTAAGATCCAAGTCACAAATAATACATATATGATTTAGACTTATATATGTGTAATTAGATGTACAATGTTTAATCATTTATATATGGATATAATATATAATAATATATAATGTACATCATATGTAATCAGTCTTCCTTATCCCTAAGTTCCATATCCACAGATTCAACAAATTGTGGGTAGAGAATATTCTAAAGTGGATTGCATCTGTAGTGAACACATACAGAATTTGGTTTTTATTTTTTGGTCATTATTCTCTAAACAATACAGTATAACAACTATTTACCTAGCATTTGGTATCGTAAGGCATCTAGCACTGATTTAAAATATGCAAGAGGATATGTGTACATTATATGCAAATATACCATTTTATATAAAGGACTTGAACACCTGCAGATTTTAGAATTCGTAGGGCTCCTAGAACTGATCCTCCAGGGATACTGAAGGTTGACTGGATCTCACAACATCCCTATGAGGTATTTCACAAAATGTAGGATGGGGACACTAAGGCACAGGGCAGTTCTAGCCTCAGGTGGCAGACATACACTAACAGGATCAACCAAAAGTCTCCAGGGCTCTACGGTACAACACAGTGGCCACTACCCTGGCTGCTGCCATCTAAAGTGACTTAAATTAAATAAAAGTTAGAACTCAGTTCCTTGGGCACACACACCTCACGTGCTCCTCAGCAGCACATGCTGAGTGGCTACTGTGGTGATCTGCATAGAAGCAGAACATCTCCACTGCAGTGGGAAGTTCTGTGGGCAGCACTAAGTCTCAGTAGCAGCCATTAGCAAAGGAGAAATACCAGCCCAACTCTGCTATCTGACATGCCCATTTGAGTCATGTGGGCTTCAGTCAGACTCCTCAGATAATACACAGCCAAATTATAGTGGGGTAAGAAGCTTGTGCTACTACAGCCTGATAATATTGGGCAAAGGTGTCTGCTATAGTTTAGAAATTCCCAGTACATAGCAAGCATCTGATCCATTATAGCTACTATTATAAATGTAGAAAATGATGAGCATACTAATAAATACCATGAAAAAAATAAAGCAGGGCGAGGAGACAGAAGCTGAAATGATGCGGCTTAGACGGGAAAATCAAGGATGTCTTCTTGAGGACATGACATCTAAATAAAGGCAGGAAGCCATATTTGTGGATGGCAAAGGCAGAATATCTAGGAAGAGTCCATGCGCAAAAGCTTAGGGCTGGGGCTTGCTTGGTGTGTCCGAGGAATAGCCGGCAGGCTGGTGTGGCTGGAAAGGAGTAGTGGAAGACAGAGCAGAAGGAAATGGGCTTAGGAGGGGTGAAGAAACAAAGTGAGAAATTAGCTATTTGTATGGACTGTGGTGGAGCATTTGGTGGGTTTAGAGCAGGGAAGTGAAGAGTGACATTTTTAAGAGTCTCTCTGACCAGCCATGTGTGGACAGAAAACCACAGGGCCTGACTTGGAGGCTAGGAGACCTGTTAGGCTGCAGCAGCCAGCAGGCCAGCTAGAGACACTGAAAAGTGTGGACGTGAGCAGGTTTTGCCTCATAAACAGCCCTGCACACTGGATGTCCCTCTGCATGGAGCACTCTGCCAAATGTCCTCCTGGCTCACTCCCTTACCTCTTTGAAGGCCTCCTTCCTACCCCAGGAAAGGCTTCCTTCCCCACTTCACTGCTTCATTTTTTACCTTATCCCAAACTACTATGCAATGTATGCTCCTGATTTTGTTTATTGTGTGTACAAGGGCCCCGGATGATGTTGGACATCTTTGATCCTTGTTAAAACCCCAGCATCTACATTAGCACCTGCCACAAACTGGGTGCTCAAGAAACATCTTTGAATCAGTGAATGAATGACAGAGAAAATAAAGAATATGTGCTGAGAAAACTGAAGGCCAGAGAGGGGAATTCACTAGTCTAAAGCCACCCAGAAGTTAATAGAGAAGCCCATACTTAAGCCCAGGTCTCCCAGCCCTGGCCTTCTACTCTCTCATGCTCCTCACCACTTGTGAAAGTTTCTTTTTTATCCTCGGAGCTGTCTATGAGCAGTTTTCTTATGAACATTGTGCTGAGTTGTCACTTCCCCCTGATCCTCTTCCCTATCTTCTCTAAAATGTGCTCTTCTGTTTGGCTGAACTTTTCCCTTTTCCCACAAGCTTGGACCGACAGTAACATCTAAAAAGTTATTGCATTACATGGAAGAAAAGGAAGCCATGATTCCAACCTTGTTTCTCTACCCAGGCAGCCTAAGTAGAAAGATGCAAAGGCACCAACTCTGGCTGGAAGGTGATGTGGATATTGGGACGGGGGAACTAAGCCACGCTCAGCACCTTTGACCACAGAGGTGCTACTGAGCAACGAGGGTGGGCCATGCAGTTTTCTCTGGTATCTGCCCAGGGATTGTTCCTGGAAATCTCAACAAATCTGCCCTCAAGAGAAATAGACCAAGAAACTCAGGTGTCTTAGCCCATTTCCTGTTCCTGTAACAAGATATCCGAGAATGGGTATGCCTAAAGAACAGAAGTTATTTGGCTCACAGTTTTGAAGACTGGGAAGTCAAAAAGCATGATACTGGCATTTGGTAGAGTTTCTTGCTGAATCATAACATGGCAGAGGGCATGGCATGAAGAAACAAAGTAAGCTGGAGAGAGAGAGAGAGAGAGGCTTTTATTTTTTAAAAAAAGCTACCCTTGAAATAAATCATTTACCTATTAAGCCATTAATTCATGAATGGATTAATCCATTAATGAGGACAGAGCCCTTGTAACTCAATCACTTCCCAAAAGTCTCATCTCTCAATTACCATTAGCACATGACTTTGGGGATTATGTTTCTAACATGTAAAATTTTGGAGACACATTGAAACAATAGCATCAGTCTTTCCTACCCTCAGTATGGTGGCATAGATGTCCTTAAATCTGATCTCTTCACCTCTCACCCCCTGTCTGATCAGTGAAGGGGTGTGTCTCTTCAGCTTCCCTGTGGCCATTTTGAATTCTCACTCCATCTCACATCTGGTGTAACAGCCAAATTTTCCTCCTCATTCTTTGTAACAATAACGCAACATTTTACTATTAACATAGCTACATATTACATTTTACTATTAGGTATTCTGCAAATTCACACTGTGGCATTTCTCATTCTATAAATCAGAATATAAATGGCTCAGAGTTACCTCAGGGCTGAGAAGTGAAATTGGGCTCAAACCTAGGGACTCTCTATTTCTGAGCTTGTCATCATTCATTCCTCTTCAATTATTCATTCATTTATTTATTCAGTAATTTTTAAATCATACTTATGTATAGGCATAGATCCCAGTGCAAAGTTACAGTAATGAATACGCAGACACGGTCTTGTGTTCAAAGAACTAACATTCCATTTGAGCAGTGGGAGACTAGGCAATGGGCAGTGCTGTAACCACGATGAAATAAGCTGCTGTGGAAGTGAGCACACTGGCAGGGGGCTTTTGATTGGCTGGTTGGGGTGGGTTATTTCATGTTGAGGGATGCCAAATATGGCTGGAAGGAAACACTCCACTGGGATATGAGGTTCCAGGTCGTGAAGAGGTCCTGGATTGAGGCAGGATGTGAGAAGGGTGGAAAGGAGGGTGGCTTACCTTGGAAAAAAAAATCACTGGGTGGTGCAGGTCTCTCAAATCACTAACTAGGGGCATCTCTGCTTCTCATCTCCAGCCCTCCTTATTATTACATACCATCTTCCCCGTTGTTTAATGTCAAGCAAACCTTTGATTCTTATTCCTTTTTACCCCTCTGTGCCTAATAGAGTTCCGTATCAAGTTTTTACTCTCCTGACACTGAAGACTGAGGAGGCTGAAAGAACAGTTAGCAAAGACCACAGCAGCAACTACAACTATCTGGAGCTTCACTTGGAAGCTTTCCTGAGCTGGACTGGTCCCACATCCTCTGCTATCCATTGATGCTAGCTGCCACTCTCCCTTAGCCCTACTTCCTTCTGCCCATGGCTCCCACCTAGTTTTTCTCTCTCTACCCAGCCCCCTTCAGACTGGAGGAGATTCCTGGGCTCATGAATCTCCCCTGGCTCTTCCCAGCTCCTATCTGGTCACCTGACCAGGATTCTGAGACTCCATGACCAGAGCTGGAGCTCCTAGACCCTGGTTACCTGGAGAGTGACTGCAGAATCATTCTGATTAATGACCTATGGGTGGTAGATTGAGAAAAAACATCTTCTAGCATTATTCTGTCCCTTTTATATATACAAATAATTCTTCCCTAGTTCTCTTTTCTGTCAATGCTGAGCATCGCTGTCTTTGGAACATATCTCTGAGCCCCCAAATATGGGTAACAGGTCCCTCCTGTGTGCTTCCATCGAACACCTGTACTTATCTTTCATATATCTCCAGCCACAAGTGGCTACTGGCCCCTGCCTCTGTGGTAGAACATGATTGCCCTTCAGAGTAGGTCAGCATGGTATCTCTGATTAGTCCTCATCAATGAATGAGCCTCATAGTTGGGCCACTTGAGACCCCAACAGGCTCAACCATGAGGTCACTGCAGCCCTCCTGCTAGGGACCCTGGGAAAGCAGAACATATGTTCACTTCTCTTTTTGACTGTCCAGCACGTGAGAAACCTTCTGGATTTGGTGGCTTTTCAATTTCCTCTCCAAGGGCTGGGGATTTAGCTCAGTGGTTCCGTTGCCTGCCTTGAAAGCACAAGGACCCAAGTTCGATCCCCAGTACAAAAAAAAAAAAAAAAGACAGCAATTTCCTCTCCTACAAGGCTGAACTGGGGGATCTGTAGGGTCGGCAAGGGTTGGAGGATCAGGAATGTGAGTGTGTTGAAAACACCTTCTGATCGCTCAGTGGTAGGCAGGGAAACCAAACTTCCTGTGACACTATCAATCATAACTGAGCATGGCAGGGGGATTTCTGCATTTCCAGGAAGACTCTCAGACACCTCTGTTTAGCATGTAGCAAATTCCTGTCACTGCCAGAGCTCTAAACAAGTTCAGAAACCAGGTCTAGGGCAAAGCTGTCCTGAATGTGCCTGATCTTGTCAGAAGGCAGAGATTCAGAAGACATCCAGAGGGGGTGGGCAGGAGAAAGGTGACTTCATACATACACACCACCCAAATCCCCTCAAGTTGTCTGTGACCTTCATATTTCCACTTTTTTCTATTCTTTTCCTTCTAAGTATGGAGGATTAAATCACTCAAGGTCTTCATACTCAGACCTTTTTTTCTCTTTTCTTTTCTTTCTTTTTTTGTTTTTTGGGGGTTTTTTTGTTTTTTTGGGAGACAGAGTCTTGCTACTACATCACTAAGTTGCCCAAGCTGGACCAAAACTTACAATCCTCCTGTCTCAGCCCCACAGAGTGCTAGAATGATAGACGTGTATCCTCACACCTGACTCCTCTTATTTCATTTTGTTTGGATAATGTTGTAATTTTTTTCTACCTACAAAAGTAAAACAGAATCATTACAAAAACATAAATAGAATACAAGTGAGAAAAAAGGAAGTATAACAAACACTCAAAATGTTGGCAATTCTTTTATTTAAAAAAAATAATCAAAACTTTTTTACTGCCAGAATGAGACAATATTCTTCATTCATCCAGTTCTTTATAACCTCTGCTAAAAGACAATTAGAAAAATTTATTTCAAGCAAAGAAATTCATGAATCTGTAGCACTCAGAGCCAGAAGAGGTTCAGAGATTCTAACAGCTTGAACTTTTATAATCCAAATGCAGAAATCATCTGATTGGCTACAGCTGGACATGTATGTGAGTTGACTGCCTGTGACTGGCTGAAGCTCAACTGCGTATCATTGTCTGAAACCTGGCTCTGCACTATATACTCCTAAGTTAGGTATTTTGTTTACATTCTAAGTTAGAGAGTACAGTTTGTTACACAGGAACTCAAAGCACAGTGGCAGCCTTAGGCTAATGGCCTCCTGCTTATTTAATTTCATATCCCTTTGGGGTATTTTTATTGTTGTTTTCATATATGCAGCATATTATGAACAGCTTTCCTTGTGATTGAATGTCATCCCAAAGGAGCGTTTCAAATGGCTGCTGAATGTCCCATAGTATGCAGGTACTAAAATTTATTTCAATAATTCCCTGAGGCTAGATATTTAAGTTGGTTCCAACTTCCATTAGTATACTGAAGAAACAAGCATTCTTTTAGCTAAATTTCTGCACACAATCATGATTATTTCTTTAGGGTGAGTTGCTGGAGGTCAACTTGCTAGATCAAGGATATGAACTGCTACAGTTTTCCTGCATCTCATTTGACTGCCACCTGCAAAGAAAGTTTTCGTTTGGGTCCTACTAGTTAGGCATGAGGGTGTGTGTGTGACTTGTTGACATTTCTTTCATCACAGCCGCCCTTGGTGTCCACTTAACCTGTTTTCATTGGGAAGGTGGATGGCAGACCATGCAGTCAGCTTTAGTGCCTACCTAGGAAAAGTCCCAGCAAGACATCAATAAATTCAGTTTATGCTAGGGATGGAAGTGTAAATATCAGGAAAGAAGTTATTCCAGGAATGTCCCAATGAACCTATTAAACATAGCATAAATATTAAAGGCCATAGGACCCCACAGTTTGGATACTGACTTTGACTTGAGCAAGATCTCTCTGAGCCTTGATTTTCTAAACTGTAGCATGGAATCCTAATGGGTTTGTTGGAAGGAAGTTAAATGAATTTGGTATGAAAATCCATAGTACATGACAGGGGTTGTGTGGCCCTCAGCATACAGTAGCTAGAATTGTTATTAAATGGGCACAATAATGTAAGCTAATATAACGAACTATCTAGTTGGGGCCCTTAAAAGACTATTAAAACTGCTAAGCATGATTTCTAACTAGTGCAACAACTATTCTCATGGGAAGTTGTGCTCATATGAGTTAATTTCCTTACATATTTACTGTATTATGTGTTTTGTAATTCAGTGTTTCTTAACATTCCCTGGGAAATTTTATTTGGCTTAACAACCCTTGTTCCATAAAACTTATCCTGGAAAATCTTCTCCATACTAAGAGGAGAGAAACTCAGGCTTAGCCACCTGGCTGGTAAGCTGGAGAGCATGCAAGTCCTTGGGTCTCACATAGACCTCCTTTGTTCAGATCTCTCGCTGGACCCAGGTTTTGTTCCTTTAGCAAACTCCCCAGGCAATTCTTACAGCTACCTGGGCCTGAGTCTGCAAACTAGCATTGAAAATAATAGGAAATAAACATAAGCTGGATATTTGGGGACTTCTAGAAAGAAGGATGACATTTTTGTCTGCCTTAGTAGTAGTCTAGCATATGGGAACTCTTTGTAGTCTTGCCTTAGCTTTCTTCCTCACCTTGGCTCTTGATCCCACATAGCTACTAGCTTCATGGATGCATGAGCTACTCTAGAAGCGCAGCACACACTCTCTTTTGCTTCTGGATGTCTGCATAGCTTTATGGTTTAATTTCTGTTGTTTGGCTGCCACTCTTGAGCCCTTCTCTATGCCAAGCACTTTGCTAAGCATTGTCTTATTCCCCATTATTATTGTTAAATATTTCAATTATAATAAAAGATGGTAAATATCAATGTGTACCTCACACGGATTTAACAAAGATAATATTTTGCTACATTTACTACTTCAGATCCCTTTTGTTTTAAGAAATAAGTC